ACACACATTTGTAGTTTATTTGCTTATGTAGAAAAGTATGACAATTTTGATAAGGTAAATGGATGAAAACACTCGATTAGGGTTGCAATGTTCGAATTTTGAAAGTTCATAACATGGCTTTTAAAGAATACATTAATAATTGAAACATGATATGGAAAGAAAATGAAGTTATACGCAGAAAGGATTTTGTTGTTGGATCATCAAAATAATTATGCAGTTGATTGCTAGAACATTAAAACAGTTTGCAACATTGATTATTATGCTTGAGATTCTCACGTAATTATCTTAGTGATTCCAGAAAATTATTATCAGATCTGTGATTTGTAATTAAATTTTTAATACTTTTAAAATTTTTAATACATTTTTAATTAAAACATTATTTTAATTGAGAATTTATTAATTAAAAAGCTCTCTCTCTCTCTCTCTTTCTCTCTTTCTTTCTCTAATGAAAAATTGCTAATTTTGAGATGTGTCACTTTTCCATCAACGCAGCGATATAATTTTTGATATTACATAGAGCAATAATAAAATAGATAATGCCAGAAAATATTCTGAATAAACAATTTATAATATAAAATATTCTGAAATTCTGTTTTATAATAGAAACTATTAAGAATAAGCAGATCCAATTATAATTTCATATAATAATTCAATATTAATTATATTCTAAAGAGGGCTACAAAGAAAATATGAAAAGAGGGGTATATTCAAGAGCACAAAGAGTACTTTTGCAATATTTGTATAAATAAATAATTTGTAAATAGCAACTTGATGATATCACAAATTGTCAAGAACAAGATTCGTTGATGTTTGAATAAGTATCGTTTTATTAATATCTCTCTTATTATTTACAAAACTTTATAATAATCTCTAGCTGATTTTCTCACCACGACACACTACTCACTATCGTCAATTCTATACTTTTTTTTTTGTTTTGCGTAATCGTTATACTGTAATGCTCGATAATGCTCATCCTCTAAATCATTTATCTATAATGAACGTCGCTCGATTTAGAAATTCGTTGTCGACATGCGCGCGACACACTTCCGTCTCTCTTCGCACCACACAACGTCGCTTATAACAAACGTGTATTTACAATATAAGTGTCATTTACAATTGAACGTGCGAAATCGTAAACTTGTTCTAAGATCCCCACTCGCGACGAGAACGCGCGAAACGCTCGTCGAATTTCAAAAACGCTTCGGTCTGTCCCTCGCGTTCTCTCGCAATTTTTCACTGTCTTATTTCGTTTTTTTTTCGCCGAAAAGGAAAGCTTCGAGAGCTCTCTCTCTCTCTCTCTCTCTCTCTCTCTCTCTTGCTCTCTCTTTTGCGAATAAAATCGCGTTATTGAGCTATAGAGATAAAGTCATCTCGATGAATCGACATATCTCGATAAATCTTGAGTCTTAACAGAAAAAAAAAATAGAAAATTTTACCATTTGTCTAACCCTCTATAAACTCTTTTTGCTTATGAAAAAAATTACACTGAAGAAAAATGATGTATTAATAGCGTTATTCTAATTGATAATAATCTTGTTAATTAATTCAATAACACTATTAACATCTAAACGCCTTTTGCATCATATCTAGCTTTTTCCAATGCTTACAACTTTTTTATTAATCAAGAAAAAATTACACATTGACGGACTATGCTTAATAAATATTCATAAAAAATTAGTTTTGGAAAAAAAGAAAGGATTGAAAGTAAAAGTTAAGGAAAGATTTCCTGATAATCGAAGACGACTTGTGTTATGAATTTAAATTTTTCCAGTTCGAAGAATTAGTTTATAATTAACAAAAATATATATTAAGTTGGTAAATGGAATATGTGTGTAATTTTGTGATTTTTTTTTACCTGTCAGTAATTAATTAAAAATAATATAAAACAAGTCCAAGTCTAATAGTCACTCGACTACTTTTTTCCTCCTCAAAAGTCACAACTTTAATTTATTCCCTTTCTCTAAATAAAATTTTAGCTCATGATTAGATATGTCTATGTTCAGACACTCATTATACTCATGATTAGATATTCCATATTTAGACACTCTGATATTCACTGCCAGTGCTAAAAATAGTGCATGTAACGTATACTACAGATTTTCAGTACTGGCAGTGAATATCGGAACGCAGCCCGAGTATGTGTTCTCTTATAGCGTTTTCGAGTGGAATGGGGTTGAACTCAACCCAGATCGGTTAACTCGAAAGTACCATGACCTCGTCCAATCAGAAACCAAAGTAGAGCATATGACGTCATTAATCCGACCTGGGTTGGGTTCAAACCCAATGCACTTGAAAACGCTATTCGTGTGGCATTTAAAAGTCAATGAAACAAGTATATCGTTCTCTTTTAATAAAATGTCGTCTGTTTCATAAATACTATTATAAATTAACAAGATTATTTTCAATTAAACTAATGCTATTAATACAACGTTAATGTGCTTCCATGTATGCAATCCCCCGCAAAAGGAACATATTAAATTATTAAATTTAAATTTAAAATTAAAATTTAATTAATAATTTAATCTTAAATTATTAAGATTACAAAGTATGTTTACAACTTCCAAGTCATTTGGCGCTATAGAGGATTAACTTACATATCTGTCGTGCGAATGTAACAAAATTTTGCTCGAATTTGACGGAAAGTAAAATCGTTATCCATATCGCAAGCGTCCAGATTGGCGAGGTTCTGGCATAACTGATAAAAATGCCATATATGTATATAGATACATATCGTGAATAAAATAATACATGTCAACGTAGCGACATATCTATATACATATATACATATATATATGTGTGTGTGTGTGTGTGTGTGTGTGTGTGTATGTGTATGTGTGTGTGTGTGTGTATTTGCGCGACAATTCTGCAAAATCTGTCGCGTAAATACGGGGCGCGCGCGGCGCCGGAAATTCGTCGAACGTTTGACAAACGTGCACATTGTCTGGAAGCGACTTTCCGAGCGACAATGTCGCTCGCGAGAGCGTGTCTCGGATGTCGCGCTGTCGGTGAAATCGAGTCACAATCACGCGACGCCAGTGTACTATTTCGTAATTCGAATCGACGGATTTCCAATCCATCGAGTGGACACCCGGGCCAACGATAATTTCGCGAGCGAACAATCCGTTTCGGCTCCCATGCTCGATTGTAGCGCGGCGCGGCCGTGTTTTGTTTCCTGGCGCCGCGGCGCTTTACAATGTCGTTTATTTCGTGCATAGGCGAGCGATCCTCCGCAAATCACCGAAATTCGGATATACGAGCTTCCTCCGATTCTTCTAAAAAAAAAAAAAAAAAAAAAAAAAAACTAGAACTTTTTTCCTCCCTCGGAACATTTTTTTGTAACATACGTTTTGCGAAAAATAGTGTACTTTAACGACGGCGTTGACGCTAATAAAAGTCGATTATTATTTTCCACGAAGGGATCGTACGGATTCATCAACTCTTTTTATTATATTCTATTTTCAAAACGCTAAAGTCCGAATATCGAGGTGTACAATATTATATATTAAAAAAATAGTCGAAAGAAATGAAACGAGTTAAATAAATTTTTGTTAAACAAAATCGGAGAATACCCTTGGAAAAAAAAAAAATGTATTATCTCGTTCGCAGGCTTCAAAAGTACGGTGATCTCGGCGGGGCAAAAAGTGAGAGATTAAAATGCGTTACTGAAATTTTCGAAATGCAGTTTCGTGAAGAACAAAGATGTGGATCGCGTCGCGAGCACCGTTTAATTGATCGTTAATTGAGATTTGGGGGAAGTGAACACTTGCTCCAGTTGATTTACGTAGAGAGATTTACAACGCGCGTGTTGTAAATCTCTTCTCGTGGTGCAACTCCGGGGGAGCCGCCATTCCACGTAAAACGTGAACGTGTGAGGCTTCATTCGATTCGACGTGTGTACTTATCGATCGATTTACGCGATGACAGATGTAAAATCACGGTGACGGTTACTATAGCGATGCACGATGATCCCGATTCGAGTGTTCTCATCGTAATATCACCCTTGGCTGGCGCATTTTCAACCGCGTACTCACCGACCACAGGCGGTCGCTAATTATCACACTAATAGTCCCTACAATCACCGAGCAAATACCCATCGATTGTCAATTGCCGTAACGTCCCAAACAAAGTCCACAATCAGACGTAAGGTGTCTTGAGCTGGTGTCGTTCTACATTAATCGCAAGTCAATCCTAAGCTTGTTGCGACAGTCAATGGCTGCGTTCAGCAGAGAAAACTAAGTTGGCATTTAGTGATTCCTTAATATGATTGGTTCTTGCTTTCAGTTCTTCGCTGGATCCAAGTGTAGGATCCAATCGTATTAAAGAATCACTAAGCGCCAACTGATTAGTTTTCTCTGCTTAGGCATTCAAAAACGTCAATAGTGTTATCGTAAGAGGCTTACAATCGACTTGCGACTAACGTTATATAGAACCAGCTTTATAAAGACAAACGTGTTTTTTTTAAATTTTCCTATTTCTCATAAGATCTTTTAGACGATTTTCGTAAAAACGTCTTCGAGATGTCTTTCAGACGTCTTACGTACCAACTTTGAAATTTTGTTGTCTGGGGTCACATTTCTAATCGGGCAGCATGTTACCGGACTATGTACGGATGCACTTCACAAAAAGGAAAGAAAAAGAAGACCGTCCTTTTGGTATCCACGTGGGCATGGCTCACGGGAGTCCTTCTTCTTGCTTTCCTTAAAGCAGATACGTAGAAAGAGAGAGCGGTCTCGCTCGCGCAATCTCGAACGACCCGCGACGGATCAGCCGCGATTATAGAAAGCCTGAAGGGAGAATGAACCTTGAGCAAGAATTACTCCAGCCAATCAGAAATTGGACGCTCCTAAGAATTATTTCAATCACACGAGAGACTCGCACGACTATTGGCGTCTCTCTCCCTTTAGGCTCTCCAGCGACCGCAAACGGCGGAGACGAGGCTCCAGGTTCATCCCGAGCGCCGTCGGCCGTTGATCCCGCAATCCGCGGGTCCCCGTATTTTGCGCGTCGTGAATCACGAATGACGATTCGATGAAACGACAGCAGAGCAGATCCGCGTATCCACACACATTTCCCTCCCACTCTTAAGAGTCTTAAGGACTGTCGTCGGGTATGGCGTACCAGGCAGCTGGATCCGCGGCGAGGGCCCATGGGCCTGCGACGGAGGGATTGGCGTAGGCCGCGGCCCCCGCCGCGGATGGCGCGCACTACCAAGCTCGGCCCTGCAATGGTAGATACGCGCCGCACTGCGGCTGCTGTTGCTGCTGCATGCCCTGCTGCGCGCTGGACCGCGTGTACGAGCAGTGCTGCAGGCTCTGACTCGAGCTCATGACGTGGCTGACGCCAGCGACGACCGAGTGATGGGACACCGAGGAAGTCGCCGCGTGATGGGTGCCATGAGGACTCGAGGCCGCCGTCATGTGCGGCGCCGGACTCGCCAGGGCCGCGCTGGGCCCACCGCGGCTACCCTCGTTCCCGCCGCCGCCGCCGCCGCTCCCGCACGGCTTCCCGTCCTTCACCAGCACCGGTACCGCCACCCGCCGCGGCGAGCTCGCACTCTGGAACAAACGTATCATTGCTTCTTGATGCGACATTGCGACGTGCACAGGGAAACCGCGTCAATTGTCAAATATATATAGGTTTGGAAAATAATGATAAATCTTTTGCATAGGGGTAGAATGGACTAAACTGAGAAGAAAAGTGCTCTACCATTTTGTAATTATTAATTGCTAAAGTATAAAATTGATCTTCAATAATTTTTCACTCAAATACTATCAACTTGACAGAAAAACTGCAAGAGACAAACATTATTTATTTTCTTCTCATAGAACTCTAAACATTTTTTCCAGAATTTTTTATCAACTTTTTAGGACTGCATTTTCTTATTTTTACCAACATGAGAAAATTCTGAAAAAATTCTCAGAACTTTATGAGAAGAAAGTAAAAAGAATAAGAAAATTTTTGTCTCTTACAATTTTTCTTTAAAGTTGATAGTATTCGAGTAAAAAATTATTGAAGATCAATTTTCGGCAATTTTGAGCAATTAATATCTTATTATTATAACTATTATAGCTAAAATCGTAAAATGATAGAGGATTTTTTCTTCTCAGTTTAATCCATTCGGTCCCTACGCGAAAGATTTATCATTACTTTCCAAACACCCTGTATATGTATATATCTACATATATTTATATAATTCGCCTACATACTTTATTCATATATTTTAACATCTCGAAGTAGTATACGTCGCGATATCGTGATACAAAATTATTCAATCATAGTCGATTATTCTCCTCGCATTCGATCGTGATTAGTCAATTTCTTTAAGCTTAAGACTTAAATAGAAATTTCGGAAAAACCATACGATTAATCAGAATTGTTATCGTGCTAAACTTAAAAGATTCTGATTGATTGTATGACTTTCCAAATTCCGATAATCATGGAGAAGCACCCTAAGTTTCACGCCTTAAAATCTCATTGTGGACGCCGCTTTATAGAACGTCACGGAAACGAATCGAGCCGAGCGATCATTTGACCTGCTACTATACTATCGTAATCAAATTCCATATTCTATTATTTATAAATTACGTAACATAAATCTGGCTTTTGTACGTATATCGGTGATTTGATATAATAGAAAGAGCGTTTCGGGAAATATCAATATAAAAAGTTTTTACGTGATTGTAATAGTCAACGAGACGACGCGACGATCGTTTTCGGTTATTACGAACGTTTAATCGCACGGATATTTATTTTAACTCATATATTTACTTGTTTGTAATATTAATTGTCACAAGACGCATATAGTACATATTATTTATTATTTCAATATACAATTAGGCACGAAAGTGCACGGAAGTGCAGTTAGGAGCAACAGGTGTAGCGTCGCCGCGACGAGTATACGCGTGAAGTTATCCGCGCGACATTCGCGAGTCTCAACCGCCATTAGGATTTCATTCGATTTCGTCGGTTGCGATAATTCTGGTCAGTTCTACGAATTCGTCGATCGGTGAACACCATCGATGGATATCATGGCTTCGTGTAATCGTATTTTTTTCCGGAATGTAACAAAACGTGCGAGAAGTGTACAGTTAACGACCGGGAGTGCTGTGAAAAGTGTCGCGCGTAATTAATTTTGTTTCCGCGAGTGTTGTATTGTCAAGTACGAAGGAAACGCAGAGAAGCTGAGAGGAGGCGGAGGCTTGGAGGCGTCGGGCAACGGCGGGGCAATCACAGGTGATTTGTTTTTTATTTGCTACTTGCGATGTTAATTGTTTGTCGCACAGTGTGTTTTATGTATCACTTTGAATTTTAATAATATAGAATTATTAAATATCTTTCACGGAAAAGACAGTTTTGCTGAAATTTCTAGAAATTTAGCTGGATACAAATCTAAAAATAATTTTATTCAATCATCAATAATCAATCATCAAGGATTCAATCATCAAGGATCAAAATAATTATGTAGGACGCTCAAATTAGATGATTGCTAGAATGTCAAAAGTTTTCACAGTATTGCTCATCATGGTCGAGATTCTTACGTAATTATTTTGATGGTCCAACAAAAGTATTTTCAGATTTGTATTTAATTAAATTTTTAAATAAAGCAGAATTGTTCTTTCCGAGTAAATATTTATTGTTCTACAATATTTAAAGATTAAAATATTAGAAAATTAAAATGTAGAAATATTTAAAACTTATAGAATCATAATTTTCTTTACTTATGTGTTATTTGCAATGTTAATTGTTCCTCTGCAATTGCATAGCATATTCCATAATAATATATTAAATATTTGTTATTTTAAGCTACTTAAAATATTCAAAATATATTAAACATAATATTTTACTTATATTTACATATAATACTTTCAATGTATTTAATATTTTAGAATCGCGAAAATTATGTACAGAAAAAGAAAGTTAGAAAATAAAAGTTTATTTCTTCAACTAATAAGATAACAATAAAAGATTATATTAATAATTAATTATAATAAAAATTTAGATATGAACATTTTCCTCTAAAGTTATATGTATAATAATCTTGATAAATTTCTATTTAAAACATGAGTAAAATAATCATCTCACAATAATTCATTCCTGAGAATGATTAATTATTAAGGGCATTACTTTAATTTGGATAAATCTGTTTTTGTTTACAGATTATATACCAATAATAAACAAATAAACTCCGCATTGTATCGGTGAGTTCGATAAATCATTTTATTGGATCGAAACAAAAGTTTGTAACGTTATGATAATTTTAAAGTATGTAACTTCACAATTTAAGCAGCTGTAACTTCATTAAAAATGAACAAAATTTAAATTTAAAAAATGGATTTTATAGAACTGAAAATTTCTATACTTTCGAAAGGTCACTATGTTTTTTTAATTTCTGCGAGTTTGATGATTTTTGCAAATAGAAAACTACAAGCTGAACGAAATGAGAACTTTTTTTCACTTTGTGGGCCAATCACGTTAAAAAAAAAACATGCGAAAATTTTCGACTGTTTATTGTAAAAACTAAAAATTTTTCCTATAAAATCGTTTTTTTAAAATTTCCTAAAATTTTTTGTTATTGAATTATTGCGGATTAAATAAAAAGGATAACATTTTAACTTTG